TCGTCTGGAGCTGTGGATTGCCATTCAAAGGGCCCCCGGCTTTTTGCCCAGTTTCTCTGAGTGGTGGAAGGCTCGCATGGTAGACAGGTATGGGGTGCCCCTCCGACCAGTACGATTGCCTCCAGCCTGTATCTGGCTTTTAAGGCAGAGGTGCATGCCTTTGAGGCGAGGCTCAATACACAGCGCATTAGGATGGCAAAGCAGCGCCGCAAAGAGCAGCCATGTTTGGTATTCCGTGATATTCAGCAAGCTTGCCCAGCCGCGGTAGATGTCTTGTTGGAGCCTCAGAGAGCGGTTGTCACTGCAGTGAACCAGGATGACTGCAGTCTTGTACTCGACAAGCCAGTTCGGGTAGAAGTTGCCAGCCCTGTCTTTGTAGGCGCGCAGCCTCGGCAAGTTATCCACGCAGAGGAGGAGGTCGTGTGGCTCGAACGTGTCCAGGAGGAGGATGTGGGTGCCACTCTTCGCCAGGATAAATTGTGTGGGGACTTGCCAAGCATTTTCCAGGCTTTCAGAGCTGAGTGGTCTGCGCGCTGGGATCGTCACCGTGACACTCCCGAAGACATGTGGGCACCCGCAGAGGCTATAGTTGACGCTGTGCCCATGTGTCCAGAAGTGCCTTTGCCGCCTCTCACACGAGAGCAATGGAGACAGGCGGTGCAGCGGAAGAAGGCATACGCAGCAGTAGGGCCTGACGGCGTAAGTAAGGCAGACATGCTGCACCTCCCGCCGGCTCTCGAAGCATGTTTGCTCAAACTGGCAATAGGCGCCGACAGTGATGGAGTATGGCCAGAGCAAATGCTTGTAGGTGCCATCTCGGCATTGGCCAAGAAGCCAGACTCCGCATCAGTCGGAGAGTATAGACCGATTACCATTCTTGCTTTGCCAGATCGAGTGTGGAGCTCGATCAGAGCCAGACAGCTGCTTGCCCAGCTAGGACTGAAAGCCTCTGCTTCTGAATTTGGCTCACTGCCAGGCCGCTCCGCCCAGGGTCTCTGGTATGAAGTTCAGCAACGAGTGCATGATGCGCTGTCCACGCAGCAGCCATTGCACGGCATAGTGCTGGATGTGGTCAAAGCCTATAATCATTTGCCAAGGCAGCCCGTCCTGAGGCTTGCAGTGAGGGTAGGCTTTGATGCAGGTGTCCTTCGGGCGTGGGCAGGCGCTCTGAGCCGTCTCCAGAGAAGATTTGTGATTAGGCAGTCTTACTCGCCACCTCTTTTGAGCGCCACAGGTTTCCCGGAGGGCGATGGTCTCTCATGCGTTGCATTTGCACTCCTTGATTTCCTGCTAGTTGTGCATGTGCATCAGCAAGGCCCGTCCACAACAGTGTACAATTACGTTGACGACTGGCAGCTAGTTGATCCGCAAGTCGCAGGAGTCCTCGGTGCTGCGCACGCAGTTGAGTCTCTGGTGGAGGCATTTGACCTTTCGCTGGACAAGCACAAGTCTTATGCCTGGTCTGTCACAGCTGGTGGCAGAGCCCGTTTGCGTGAGTCAGGTCTTCGCGTCACTCTCGGAGAAAGGGGACTCGGGGCGCACATGCAGTTTGCCCAGCGCCATACCAATGTCACTCAGCGCAACCGTTTCAATGCCATGCAGGACATGTGGGCGGATTTGCGCCGCAGCAGTGCCCCTTATGAGGCAAAGCTACATGCAGTCCGGGCGGCTGCCTGGCCCAAAGCCCTGTACGGAATAAGTATAGTGTCGGTGCCCTTAGCTGAGTTTCAGCCGCTGCGTAGTGGGGCCATGAAGGGCTTGCGTGCCAAGCGTAGCGGGACTCATCCGGCGGTTCACCTTGCTTTGGTGGAAGGCCCGCGCACGGATCCTGCTTATTGTGCGCTATGGCAATCCGTCCGTGATTTTCGAGTGTATGCCAACCATGCGCTTGCCTCTGTGCACATAGAGGAGGAGCTTGAACACCCCGTTGCTCCTGGCCCGCTAAGCACTTTGGTAGAACGCCTGCATTGGGTAGGTCTTGCTTTGAACTCCGAGCTGCGTGTCACCGACGACGTAGGCAGCTTTGCTTTGGTGGAGGAGCCATTGCAGATGGTCCAGCTTAGGCTCCAGCGAGCGTGGACCCGCATGGGGCATGAGGCCACTGCCCGTACTTCGTTCAGCGGCTTGCATACGGTTGATGCCCTGGAGTCCAAGGGTACCATGCGGAAGTGGCATGCTATGGATGTGTCCCTGATGAGGATTGTCCTCAATGGCACTTTCTTCACTCAGGATAAGCTTTCTAGTTTCGCACCGGTAAGCCCAGAATGTCCTTGGTGTGGAGTTCCAGATAGCGTGGAACATCGCTTTTGGGAGTGCCCCCAGTTTGCGGCGCAACGCAATGACTGCCCGCAGGATGTGCTTGATGCCATCACTGCTCTGCCCAAGTGCTTGAGCCATCATGGCTGGGTGCAGGAGGTGAGGTTGAAGAAAAGTTGGTGGCAGGCCCTCGGTGAGCAGCCCGATTACAGCAATGTCTGGTTGCGGCATGTGCCACCGGGGGAGTGTCTCGACCTGTTCACCGATGGTACAGCCATGGAAGCTCGAGATCCAACTCTGCGTGTGGCGGCCTGGGGGGCCATCATTGTGGATGGCCCTGCGGCGGATACATCTCGCCCTTTGTCCAGTGGAGGTTTGGTAGGCCTCATCCAAACCGTGCAGCGTGCAGAGCTCACTGCCGCCATAGTCGCACTGCGGTATGCTGCATGGGCTTGTAAGCCAGCCAGGTTGTGGGTTGACAATAAAGTTGTCTTCGATGGCTTGGTTGCCCTTGCGAGTGACGAGCTCTCGTTGCATGCCAATCGCAAGGACCATGATCTTTGGACGCAGCTTCATCAGGCGTGGCACGCTCTTACCGAGCCACTCTGGCCCGTCAAAGTCGTGTCGCGCTCAGAGCAAGCTGGGGACCTTGTGGCAGCATGGGCTGCGAGGCATAACGCCACTGCCGACCAGGTGGCTGCCGATGCTAATCTTGATAGGCCAGAGGCCTTTTTAGACTTGTATAGGAGCTACCGAGGGCAGGTCTTGGAGGCTCGCAGGCAAAGGGATGCTGTGCAAGAGGTGCAGAAGCGCGTGTCTGCCGAAGCCATTGCCAGTAAGCCTCAGCTCGCACCACTGGCAGCACCGATGCATCAGCCGTCAGCAGATAGCTGTAATCTCGTTCCTTGCCCAGAGGTCGCGTGGATCGTCCCTCGCTTGCATCTCCCGCAGCTTGAGAAGAAGTATGGCCACCAAATGGTCCCTTTGGTTGTGGAGTGGGTTCATAAGGTGTGGGCTCCTTCCAAGCCCACGAGGTGGATCAGTGTACTGCAGTTGGCGGTGACTTTCAACTGGCCACTGGTTGTGTGGGTCCCCTGTATGACCCTGACCTGGTCCAGTGGCGGGACACTGTAGCGTGCCGCTCAGCCGAGCATTTGCAAGTGGACTCGTGCCAGCGGGTCAGCTGGTTTAAGCGTGCCATCCTGGAGATCACCGATGCTCTTGGGGTGAGCTTGCACGCGATAGTCACCAGGCCAACCAGTGGCGCACTTGTGATGCACACCACGTGCCTTTCGTGGCGGCTCCCTGCTGCGAGACGCGCTGTCATTGACACTTGGTTGAGGCAGCATTTGCCACGTGGTGTCGCACGGTATCCCAGAGATGCCAGAACCCTGCCGGTTGCAGCTTCCGACGCTGCTATGACCGTGCAGGCGCCCGCCAGAGGGCTACACCGTTTTTGGGGCTAAGCCCCTTTGTTTACTCCGCGAGGGACGCCGACCGGCAGCCTTCGACTCGGGCAATCGCGAAAAGGAGAAAAGGAATTTTGAGTATGGCTTAGCTGCTGTTTGGAGATTGGTTTTTTGCCGAAACCCTAGAAAGCCTCTGACCTGTGAAGGGAACTTGTGTTCGCTAGTAGCTAGTGCTTTGCTCTTGAATTTTTAACTTTAACTTCTGATTCAGAGTGATCTCGGCGCAAGGACGAGTTGCAGAACGTGAAGTCTGTTTGCGGCAGCTCTTGGTCTTTTGCGGCTGTGAGGCGTGACGGGTCTGCCTCAACCTCAGACGACCATGTCTTGTTTGAGGTTTGAGCAGCTCTTGGCTGAGGTTGTCACCTGGGGGCATGCAAAGAAGGGTGGCGACAGCAGGCCGGCGAGTCGGCGAGTCGCAAGCTGCCACGGAGTGGTTTTGTGAGACGAGAGGGGTGAGAAAGTGCTTTGGAAGTGGAGGTCAGTGCAGCACGAACTGCATCACGTCCTGCAACTGCGTGCAACATCGTGGGCATTTGCAGCACTGAAAAGTGATGGAACGGTGGTCTCTTGGGGAGATCCGACATGCGGTGGAGATATCGGAGGAGTCCGTGGAAGGCTCAAAAGTATCCGGCAGCTTGTTGCGTCTTCGGATGGCTTTGTTGCTTTGGATCGCTTTGGTCGGGCTATATGTTGGGGAGCTTCCCTGCCACGTCCGCCAGCTCCATTGGTTGAAGTGAAGGCTGTTGCTGCAGCCTGCCATGGATTTGCGGCACTGCAGAAGGATGGCACCGTCTGCGCTTGGGGAGACAGGCAGGATGGAGCAACAACCGAGCTTTTGACCGGCCCCACATGGAATCCAGAGGGTCGCTTTTAGTGGAAGATGATGTCATGGACCCCCTTTCAGGTTCCATAAGTTCCATGGCATCCTGATAGGTCCAAAGGGGGAGCCTTTGCCGTCGACGTCGGGGCGCAGCTGGTCGACGTCGAACAGCTCTATGGCTCTTCTTGGGCTTTCGCTGCCCTGAGGTGTGATGGCAGCGTGGTGGTTTGGGGCGACGCCGCCAGTGGCGGTGACTGCAGTGCAGTACAGCACCAGCTCGTGGACGTGGTGATGCTCTATGCCTGACATCACTTTGATTTAAGAGCAACACAAACACACCGATCTGTGGCAAACTGGCGGCGGAGTGATTCGCGCAAAGCCTGTGTCGAGCTTGTGTGATGTCCGCACGATTTGTTGGTTTATGCAGGGTGTAGTCTGGTGTTCCGTGGACCGAGGCAAGCAATTGCCCTGCGGACACAGCTGTTCATCGCAATGCCATTCAGGCCAAGATGTGACATCGCACATTAGCGTATGCTGCAGCAGCCATTGGAGTCCATTCCTTAGTTGACCGAATGTTATGGGCGTGTCTCAGAATAGGGATTGAACCCCCCATAGTGGGCGGTTTTCTTTTGGTTTCCCTTCAAATCAACCCCAGAGGGCACCCTGGCCTCAAAACCCAGAACATGTGCGACTGAAATCTTGCCAGGAGATTGCAAAGCATGTACGAAGCCGTGCGGGGCAAGGCTTGGCGCGACGTTGGCCTCCTTTAGGTTTGTGCGTTGTCAGCAACTTTCACAGCCCGAGATCACATTACAGGTTTCGGAACTGGCAATCCAACATATTTTGTCAAGTATAGTCTTGCAGGCTTCCAGCACTATGCAACAAGAAAGAACCAGCCAATTGTTTTGCAAAGCACTTGTCAGAATACAGGTTGGCCTGCTAGCACTGCTTTTTCGAAGGAGACAGAAAGACCTTCAGCATCCACCGACGCATACTGAGCAAGGATCTCCAACTTGTTTTTGCAAAAATGCAAGTTCCAAAGACGATTTGAGAAGCAAAGACGATTTGCAAATCTAGGAAGGTAAATATGACGCTTCCAAGTGTTTAATCTTTAACCCCATCAGTGGAGAACTTTTTCCCGAACAGCTGACAGCTGCAGCGTGTTTGTCCAGATTAGATCCGGAGTCCGGAGCAGACGGGGAGTTGGTTGGAGGGTTCCAAACGGTTTCGGAGAGTTCTCAGATCTCCGGAGAGGCTCGGAGAGGGTTTGAGGGCAGGGTCCCAGAAGGGGTTCTGAAGATGTTTGGGATACCTGAGCTGATTTCCATGTCCCAATCTTGCTGACCTTTGCTCCCTCGGCGCCTTGGCAAGAGCTTGCCATCCATATGCTGCGCCTTAGGATGTTGTTGCCTGTAGTATGAGCTGCGTGCACTTTTGTACGACTATACGGTTCATTTGTGGTTTTGGTTGCCGCAAGCAAGCGCCAGTCGAGGCGTGTGCACTGCAGCCACAACTGCCAGGCCGGTCTGCACACGAGGGAGGGCTGGATTCGTCTCAATGTCAGGCGCCCTGCCACGCTGGATCTCAGTGCGAGGCTCCGGCCAGTTGCATATGATGGTCAAAACCAACTGGGAGGGGACGATTGAAACCCTTCACAAGGAATCTGGACGGGTCCCAAATAAGGGAGCCGCACAGAGAATCATGCGGCCCACAAAACAAGTTTGTTAGAACCAAGGATGTGCTTTTCTTTTGGCAACCCTCTCTGAATTGGCGCTGAAAAACTAAAACGAAACCAACCAGCTTGGACATTCCCCATAATTGAGACTGGGTCCCGGATGCTCCCCCCCCTCAAATATGGATGGTGCATAAACACAAACATGTAAGTGATCTTTACCAAAGGGTCAAAATGAAGATCAACGCCCACAGGACCTGCCTCGAGTGTTCCAATCTGAAGCCCCCCGAACCTCCAGCCCGTGGAAGCTCCGCGAGGACGCACCCTGCCGGTGCAAGGTCAAGCAGGCCTGTCCATGCGGGCAGCGAGTGGAGGACCACTCACAGGCTTTCCTTCCTGCGACCCCCAAAAACGTACTAATTTCAACACTTCTTCCCAAAACGATGGTTTTACGGGAATTTCAACACCTGAACGCTTTTTGGAACACAGAACGGTTTTTAGAGCACTGGTGTTGTTTTTTTATGTTTTGACCCGGGGGGGGGGGGGCTGACACTTGCCTGGACCCTCGCCCGGCCGCGCCGGCCTCTCGAAGATCATTGGGCGTCCACATGAGGAACCCCGCAAGGAGTGGCACCAATTTTCCCCCGCTTCGTGCGCTAAGCAATCACTTAATTGCGTCCGCGTTTGACACCCCGAATTAGGTCATCCAGATCACCCACCCACGCAGCCCGGCACAAAAGCAGGTACCTTTGAGCCTCGCGTAGGCATGTAAGTCTTGGGCTTACAGATCTGGACACCGAAGCTACCCTGCCGATGAAATCCTCATCCAAAGCGCAAAATTCTGATACAGGGTTCTGGGCGTACCCAGCAACGTCACCCTGCCACTCGATTGTTTTGATGCAGTGAAACATCATATGATGTTTCGGGGGAATTGGGAACATTGTTTGTCGGAGCTGGATATCCTGAACATGCCTGGGTAGTGTTCTTCATGCCCTGATTGGCAAGCACGATTGTAGTAGCTTATCGTCCCGCTTGCGATGTTTTTCCTTGCTGAGACCGCATGACAACGCCATATAAACCAAAAGTGCGGCTGTGAGGCTGCACACTTCTCAACCAAAGAATTCTCGGAAGCGCCACTGCCGCCATAAGCAGCCGAACGGTCTTTAGAGAACCAGTGTTGGAATTTCAACACCACTATGCAAAAATGATCATTTTTGCTGGAAACGATCATTTTCAACATCAAAAGGTGCTGCAGGTTCTTTCCCTTTGTGTCTCCAAATTTGAGGAGCCAGGCGAAACCGGATGTCCATTTCGTTTCCCTTAAAGAATAAAAGCTTCAAAAGAACTCCCCCAGTTCTTTTCAAGCGGTATTGGAGATTCGTGGTTTTTCGGAATGTGCCCGCCACAATTCCAGGGAAAACCACAGCGGCTGCGTGCCGCAGGAGCGCAGCTGCGGCGCCTTCAGCGGTCTGCCGCGCCCGCAGTTCGCGGCGCCGCGCCGGCGGCCCGGGCCGAGTCCCACGAAACGGGGTTCCGTGTCCCCAAGGGGGAGATTTCCCCCTTGGTGGATTCCCTTTAAAGCCAACTCAAAAGAGGTAGCCTCAAAAAAGGAAGATTCACCTGTGCCAATTTTGTGACCCTGACCTTATGTCTGGATGCATGCGTTTTGACCCGCAGATGGGTTACATGACAAGGTTGCCTTGCCTCTTGCGAGCGACCATCGCTGCAATTGCCAGAAGGTGCTGATTGTGGCGTTTTGCATTCGTGTCCAGAGTGCACGTTTTAGCAGGTGAAGTCGTCAAGTACACAGTTGCTTGGCTTAAGCAACAGGCATGTTGACTCTGACACTGTGCTATGGGCCTGTCAGCTCCGTTGATGCTCTTGCATATTTGTTTGTTCATGTGTTCACGCGTTAATGTATTCATTTATTCAGTCAGCAGTCAGCAGTCAACAGTCAGCGATTCAGTTGGTGAGTCGGTCAGTCAGTCGCTTTCAGGCTGATCTCTTGCAGCTGGCGATGCATAATCGGCGTTACGTCCAGATGTTAGAGGAGACAGTCTGCACATGCGCGTAGTGTTAGTGCCCAAATTGCGTTGAAAGAATCTCACCATGTATGGACTGCCACCACTCGCTGAAGGACACATTCGCCGCCCTGATGAGCAAAGGCCGCATTTCGGGGTTGTGTGCCAAGCCCGCCTCGGATTCGGATTCCGCCGGTCAAAGCCACTTCACTCGAGAGGAGTCGCCTTGACTGCTTTGCAGGTAGAGCCGAGGCGCCCGGTCGTACGCTCGGCCCTCAGGCGCGCTTTTACGCACTTAGTATGAGGGTGAAGTAAGCTTGTGCAATGGGCCACTTGGGCGATGCTGTCTTTTCACTTTTCACCCAGACTGGCTTTCGCAGCTTGCAGATCAATGTAGAACAAGATGTTGAGCTGAAAGCAAGGATCAAGAGCCCGCTACATGCATAAATACGCATCTGTCCTTTTGCTAGCTGTAGAGAGTTCAAACATGTCACAGTCAGCACCTCTGCCGAACAAGAGATGAGAAATGCGGGCATTCACATTTTGACAGACCCTCATTCCCCCACGTGCCGGACAGCCGGCAGAGCCTACTGAATCAACGGTCATTGAAGAATCTTAGTACCTCCATGCCGCTCTCATGGTGCAGGCCGTGTGGGATTTGCCTGTACGTAAGGTTTCAGTCATTCCATGGTTCTCTCGGTCAAAGTTTCAGTGCCATTGGACAGGGCGCAGGCCTGAAGGCTCCGAGGGCTCACAGGCCTGGCGAAGTCTCCCGTCCCTCGCTGGTTTGCGTGCGATCCGTGTGAGTCACGGATGGGGAGGTGGAGAGGATGCTTGGCACCCGGAACGGGGTCGTGCAACTGTCTTCAGGCCGAACAAGCAAGACTTAGGTCGCACTGGCCGCTACAGGCTGGAGCACAGCTGTCTTGAGGGGTGAGGTTTGGTTTGAAGGAGACTTTCTTTGTGCCCGCTGCTTATGGCCTAGCCATGGCTTGCACTTTTGTGCCGACTTCTTTTTGCGCGCAACAAGTCTGCAGGGCTTGTGGCAGCTGCTGCAGCCCGATGGCGACCAGCACTTGCCACGCTTGCTGGCGATGCAGGACGGACAGACAAGCTGACAACCTGCACTCTCTAAACTCGCACGAGACCTTGCAGGAGTTGGAACCTATGGAGAAGTAACTTTCTCAGTTCCGCTGAGCCATTCTTGTGGCATTGCATTGTCTTTTTTTGCGGACACCATGGAACCAGAGAGAGAGAGAGAGAGAGAGAGAGAGAGCTAACCTGGCGGAGCGACCGGAATGCGTCTTCTTGCAATTGGAGGCCGCAAGTTCCCAGCAGCCGGCCGGCGCTTCACATGCTCTCTTCCGATATGCTGGGCACTGAGAAGTCGACTGCAACCGGACTCCGCTTCTCCTTTTTGGGCTTGGATGGGCTTGGAGCCCGGTAGTGTGGTTGGTGGGAAATCAACTCCACTTACCCCGAAGGACCGGATGGTTCGGTCTCTCTGAGGCCAGAACCAGAACCAGAGGCCACGACTGTTGGAACTTCGAGTGAAGCTGTCGGATGGCGTCGGAGTCGTTCCCAGACTACTTGGCACCTCTGATTTTGCAAGCTAAACGTCTGGCAAGCCGCGTTTCTGTGGCCTGAGCTGCAAGATCCAACTTTCGCCTTCTTGAGAGCCGTTTTTTTTTGCAGGTGTGCATGCATGCTTGCGGCCTCCACTGCGGGAGCAACTTCCAGGAAGCCTTCTCAGTCAGCACAGAGGACTAGCAGTTTCCGTTTCATTCGTAGAGTCAGGCACTGCTGACCTCAAGATCTAGACCGCCAGTCAGCTTGGCTCGAAAGCCCAAGGCTTCGCTGGGCGCTTACTGCCGCGCAGCAAGTGAGGAGCATTCAGGTGCGCAGCCAATGCACATGGGGGAGAACATGACATCAATAAGGCCAAGCGATGTGACCGTCCAAGCAGAGCCTGTCCTCAGGCGGCGTGCTCAGTTCCACTGTTGAAGAAGTTCTGAGACTGTTTGGAGACTGAAGCTGCATCAATCCAACAAGCAACTCCGTTGCAGACTGTCTAACTGCATAATCTGATGCATGGAGGCCGTCAGTCGCCAGGGAGCCTGCGGTAACCAGCCGCATGTCGGCTCCTCAGAACACGCCTCAACGGTCAGGCGTCAGGCCCAAAAACCAACCATCTCACGCTGCAGGAAAGACGCCGCAAGAAAAAGAGTGGCAGTACAGCAGGTCGGCAGCGAAGATTCCATGCTCTTCTAGCTTCCACTTGGCCGGTCGCGCGGTCAATTTGTTGCCAGGGCGGCTTCTGCGGCTTCCTGTGTGGGCAAGAATGCGCCCAGAATCTGCAGGCCAGCTTGAAACACTTTGAAACGGCAGGCTGAGGCCAAAGGTTGTCAAGGGCCCAGTGGATTGGCTGAAGCACTCACGCAGTGGAATTTGGCAGAGATGCTATGGCAGTTGTCGCTTGGGCATAGGCAACATTCAGAATGACGCGCCCAACGTTTGGGCGACCGCCAGCCCGGTCAGGGCTCGGAGCTCAGCGTGTGTTTATACACACCAGCCGCGCTACGGCTTGCAGTGAAGCGCACTTCAACGCCAGAGACATGGAGTTTCTACAAGATTGAGCTCAGGAAGTCTGAAGACACTCGCGCTTTCTGCATGGTGCCAGGATTTGCGATCCCGATGCAGCCATGAACAGCTGCAGGCCGGCTGCAGCATGCTGCATATATAGGTATGTGTCAAAGGAAGGACACCCATTCTTTTGATTTCTTGACTTTGGTCTCCCTTACACACCCATATCATATCATGAGCTTTTTCTGCGTCGAGGAGCGATGGGGACTGCGATCCTTGCGCTGCCATGCTGTGGATCAGGCGGGTTTGCCACGTTGTTTTTGTGGCAGATTAGAGGCAAGCTGAAATTGGCCCGTATGAATAGGCCCCTGCTTGATTTTGATTGCGGGGAGTCCGGTGTCCAATTCTTTTCAGGGGGGACTCAGACCACTTTTGCAGGGAACACCCCCTTATGAATAGGACAGGTTTATCAATTGGGGTCAACATCACCTGGCAAGGCCGCCTGACCTGCCAGCACTACCCTCAGACGTCGACTTGGACGACACGGGCGACTGCAATCGGCAGACAGTCAGGCGGATCAGCTTCAGATCAAATGCGAGCGTTGCCAACAGAGCTAGCATGTGTGTATATATATATATACATATTCACAATTTTGTCAGCGCAATCCACTTGTGTGTGTGAATGGCACAATGCTTACATCTGTTTTCATGGTAGGCCTTCCCAGTGTTCGATGTAACAGCACTTGCGCCGAGCTCTGCCAATTCCTAAGTCAGGGCAAGCAATGGCATCGTCGCCAGCATGCGCATCAGCAACATCAACACGAACACCATCCCAAGCTCATGCCAGATGAAAAAGTGACCATGATTAAAATTGACCCAAGTTTAGGCGCAGCCTCTGACTTGCACCACGACCGCCAACAGTAGCATTCAAGCTCAACTGCGATCAGCACAGTCCACAGGCTTGGCATCAGCATTCACATCAAGTGTATACAAGGATTTGCAGCATCAGCATCATGCTCATCATGCTCAATCATGCTCAATCATGCTCATCATGCTCATCATGCTCATATGCTCATCATGCTCATCATGCTCATCATGCTCATCATGCTCGTCATGCTCATATGCTCATCATGCTCATCATGCTGATATGCTCATCATGCTCATCATGCTCATCATGCTCATCATGCTCGTCATGCTCATATGCTCATCATGCTCATCATGCTGATATGCTCATCATGCTCATCATGCTCATGATGCTCATGATGCTCGTCATGCTCATATGCTCATCATGCTCATCATGCTGATATGCTCATCATGCTCATCATGCTCATGATGCTCATGATGCTCATGATGCTCATGATGCTCATCATGCTCATCATGCTCATCATGCTCATCATGCTCATCATGCTCATCATGCTCATCATGCTCATCATGCTCATCATGCTCATGAATGATTAATGATGAATGATGAATGACGAATGATGAATGATGAATGATGCATGAATGATGAATGGTTAATGACGAATAATGAATGATTAATGATGAATGATGAATGATGAATGACGAATCATGAATGACGATGACGATGACGATGACGATGACGATGACGATGACGATGATGATGATGATGATGATGATGATCATCATCATCATCATCATCAGCGTCAGCGTCAGCGTCATCCACACAGCAAACATGGAGCTAAACGTCAGCGCAGAACTACTTCGTTTTTGCGGGATGTAGGTTCATATACGGGGCACTTGGCAGTTCGTGAGTTGTGGGAAGGCCGAGATTCTGGCGGATCGACCCAGAGGAGGAAGAAGGCCGCCCTTTGCAGACTTGAGCAATTGGAATCAGAAGATGTTGCCAGGCATGGTGGATGCAATAAGACAAGTTCACATGTCAGAGGAGGAGCACAAGGGAGAGGGTGCAGACAGAGTCCATGTTTGTGCTTGTCTCAATCAGATGTCCACAGCATGACTTTGACATTGCTGGTTTCTTTTGGCTCTGGTGCCGTGTTTTCGCTGATCCCCATATCAGCCCTACCATGCTTACCGTCGCTCGAGTTTGGGGGAGCTCTATTTGCATGACCTCATGGTTCACCCACGTGGCTGGAAAGATGAGCACCAGTCACTCGAGTTGCAGGAGGACACGCTTCGGTCTCCTCTGCAGCCGCCGCATTCCCCTCCCGCGCAGTCCCCGCCGCATTCCCCTCCCGCGCAGTCCCCGCAGTATCCTGGCTGAGCCAACCTGAGCAAAGCTGCCTTGAGCAAAACATGATGATAAAACATGTTTGAGGGGAGTCGTTGAAACCAGCTGCATGTCCGTGGGCCTGAGACGTGTGATGAACTTGTCAATCGCACCCTCCGAGCACGCGGCCATTCCAAGGTCCGACAATCCATCTTACCTGGTACCACCTTCGCCGGAGTCTGCGAAGACGATGCCTTGCTGCACTTTGCATGAGTGCGGCAGTTTTGCTTCCCACTCCCATGGCACTGGCACTGCCAGCACACCCTTTCGTTTTGATGCAAGCCCGAACTGCATTGAGCCATCCAAGGAACAGCCACTTCAGCCTTAACAGCATCCTGCACAAGCCGGGCACCAGGTCCGAGCCTTCTCCGGGGCCTACCCGTATCGCATCTTGGCGCAAGTTCATACGGCTGGTAAAAGATAGGTAGCCAAAATG